ATTTTCTTCTTTTACGTATATAAAGTACAAGATTAATCAATTTTATTACACCCATTTTTAAGGCTGTGAAAACTAAGCCCCCAAAGGGTAAACATAAGTGGTGTCCTCATTTTTCCTTCTTTTCCAGTAAGCTCATCCAAATAAATCAACTGCTGTTTCTCTACAAGGAATGAACTTCAGGTAAGACACTTATGAAGCAGAGGAAGCAGAGTACAGCATTCTGTTATTACAGTCTACAGTTTTAAAAACAACATTTGCCTGACAGGTACTATTTACAAACAAATTTGGTCTTTCATTTCTCACAGAAACAATATGGAAAACAAAACAAGACAGTAATAAATACACTCAATCCCAGGGTTACAAACTTGCCCTTTAATGTTATGTAAATTTGCCCATGCTTTGAAATGATTGAGCTAATCCCTACTCACAAATTTTCTATTGAAATCACCTTCACTTGCTGCATATGCAGTTTTTAAGCTACTGAAAGGCTTTAAAGCTTTTTATTATTTTTGTTAATACTAAAGAAAGGCACCAAAAAAAAAAAAAATAAGGCAACTGTTTTGATTTAACTACAAATTCAATTTAAAAACAAGGATAAATTTAGGAATGTTATCTCCAGTAACTGGAGGACTTCCTATAAACAGCTAATTTTGCCTCACCATACTACTTTACAGATTACAATCTACCAATAATTAACCTTAAAATAACCTGAGATATCCAACACTAAAAGTCCTCCTTTCCTCTTCACATAGCAAGCTTCATCTGCTCCATCCAAGAAACTTCTCAAATTCAATCTTATTATAGAGAGGCTGCTCAGGTATATGAAGAGTAACGTGAACTACAAAAACAAAATCCAAAACACAGTCAGCTCTCTTGGGGTTAAGTATCTCTGAAGTCAATCAAATGGAGATCTTTAAAATGGGGAGGGAGTATGGGTGGGCTGTTGGGAGGGGGAGGCAATTAAGTGGTTCAAGCAACCCCTCAAAGATTAAGAGGGAGAGAAAGTATTATTTCTACAACATATACATTGTATTTGGTATACCAAGCAATCTAGAGATGATTTAAAATGCATGGGAAGGAGTGTACAAGTTATATGCAGGTACCTGTCTACTTTATATAAAGGACTTGAGCATTCAAGGACTTTGGTATGAGTCAGGGAGTCCCTTCAGATGTCATGGAAGAGCAGTAAATTCTATCTAATCCAAAATACCTAACATGTGTACATCTTGGGCTCCTGGTAAAACTGCACGCTTCCTGGTCAGAGACAATATTCACCCTGTTCTCACAGCACTGTGTTCTCTATCACATTTATGTGAGGTTTTGTTTGCCCATCAAGAACTGTTTACTGAGGGCCCACAACCCGCCAACCATCAGGTATGCTCTGCTACTTATTCACTAAATTATTTGTCTCCCCCACTAGACCACAGTCGGTATGATGATGGTTATCGATGGTTATCGCTTCTTTTTTCTCAGCACTGGGCTGTACAACCTAGCAAAGAGGTTGGTAACCAGTTGCTGGCAAGCAGTTGGTGCCCTTGAGTCAATTCTGATGCATAGCAACGCCATGTGACAAAAGTAGAAATGCTCCACAGGGATTCCTGAGCTGTATGTAATCTTTACAGAAGCTGATTGCCAGGTCTTTCTACCGCAAAGCTGCTAGACAGATTCAACCCACCAACCTTTGCAGGTTAGCAGCCAAGTGCCAGAGTCTCCTAGCACACAAACCTACAAAACCAAACCTAATGCAGTCAAGTTGATTCTAACTCATAGCGACCCTCCATCACATCTCTGAGGCTCTCAATCTTTACCAGAGGAGACTGCCCATCTGCTCTCAAAGAGCTGCTGGTAGATTCCAACCTGACAGGCTTTCAGTTAGCAGCCCAAGACGTTACCCACTATGGCACGAGAGTTCTTTCCCTAATACACAGACTTAGTGGACACTGGAGAATGAACGAGAGGAAAAGAGAGCATGCAAAGGGGCCACTCTATATGTTAAGGAATCAGTGTTTTTTATTGCCCAGAACACTCAAGATCCACCAGAGATCTAATGAATTCTGAAAGGCACCACATGCAATACACAGCTGTAGGCATCTCAGCTGTCATGCAAAGGAGCCTGAGGCCCAGAACTATGTAGAATTCAGTCTTTTGTTTCTTTCTGCCTGCCTCCTAACCAAAATGAAGTTAGGGCTACTGTCAATCTCCCTGTCAGCTGGATGTCTTCACAACATCTGGCTTTCAGAAATGCCAAGTTAACACTGTTGCTGGACAAAATTTATGATGATTAGCTTTCTGACATCACTGCATGAAAAGATTTTACTTAAATGTCTGAGGTCACACATATGAACTAAACAGAATTCAGTTAACAGAAAAAGTTCTCTATTTCAAGTCTGCGAGCTATAAATTAGCCTTCAAAAAATGTTTAATTTAAAAACAAAATGGTTTGACTTATTAAACTTTCCAAACTTTCAGTCATACAGGGCTATTTGTTTTACCACTAAACTGTTCAAAACAAACCCAAAGCTCCAAAAGGAAGCTTCCTGTAAATCTTATAATTAAAACCTAGGCCTCAGTGCATTATATGCTATTTAGAGTGGTTATAAAGCAATAGCCTAATTAGAAATAGTAGTAATCTTGCACAATACAAAAACCTAACAATCTAGACTGCTATAAAAATACAGATGAGTAAGTTCACAGATCATGGGGGGGGGACCCCAAACACCTCCACAAAGTTCAACTGTTGTCCATTTAAGTAAATGAAAAGAAAAATAAAGGGATAAAAAATAAAAGGCAAACGAAAATTAAATATGTCCTAGCATGCACACTAACGTACAATGACAGAAAATCTTTCAAGAGAAGTGGCTATCAAGATATTAGTACATTTAAATAAATGTGTTAGTTATGCTCAGTGGCAGACTAAATAGCAAAACCAAACTGTCATCCACTTGACTCTGACTCACAAGGATCCTGTAAGGAAGATAAGAATTGTCCCATGGGTCTTTGCTGACTGCCTTATCCTTCTCCCAAAAAAGTGGCTGATGGCTTCAAATCAGCAGCCTTTTACTGAGGAGCTCAACTCGGAGCCTACTCACTATTACCACCGGAACTCATTCCTCGGCCTCCAGACTTCAGCAAATCACAGCTTACCAAAGAAAGGTTGGGGACATATAACACTAATTAAAAAGAAATGATCTACATGCATTTTGTAGTTTGCATACACTGAAGCACTAAGACCAGTATTACAGGAGCTCTGGCAGCCTGGTCGGTAAGGAGCTGCAACTGCCAATCCAAAAACGAGGTTCAAATCTACCAGCTGCTCCATGGGACAAAAAGAGGGCCAATCTCTTCCCATTCCATTTACTACCTCTGTAAACACACTGAAAGGTGAAAGGTCAGCTATGGGTAGGTTCCTACTTGAAAGCACATCACCACAAGCAACAGAAGTCTAGTATCGATAAAATCCCCAAGATGATTTAAAACAGCAATAAATGAAGAACCCTAGGCTTTTCTAGACCAAGTAAGGACGAAAATTAATGACCTAAATGAGTGTGGACTCATTTTCAGAAAGATGGTGAGGATGGTGCTGGATCCAGGAAGGTTTCCATCTGTCACAAGAGCTGGAGTCTGAACAGCACCTAACAACAACAAGAGGCTGTACAAGGTCTCTTGGACGAATGAGTTATGTTTACTTAATACTGTGAAATGAAAAGCCTGCACAGCTGGAAAACTCAGAACCAACTTATCATCGACAATTTTCAACCCTGCTCTGAAAATTGTTCCAAATCAAGTTTACGTTGTAACTTTTTTACAGTAGGACTTGTACAACTTATTGCGGTGTTCTGAATAAAGCTCAGGTGACTATACAAAACTACTTGTTAAGATGAAAGGAGACAGATTAAGAAAAAAAAAATTGTACTTATGCTAGCAAGACATTGCCCATACCTTTCATCAGCGTCTATTCAAACCAGGCACTATGAAAAATTCATTAAATTATTTGATTTTTAAAAATGCCAACAATGTGTCAGCTGGAAATAAATAACTACTCGCCTAAACAGAAATGAATGTGTGGCCACATTCTGTTCCTTTTGTTAGAAAACGTCATGCAACAGGAAAGATTATAGTTCCGTCCAAAATGACAAGAACAGCACACTCTTCTGAACTTTCGTTTTGTTATATAGCAAAATTTCCCAACAGATTTGCTGGACTGAAACCTGGACCGACGATGTTTTCCATCTCGGCACTGGCACGAATCGCAGAGCCCCTCTGCCGGGCCCAGCGGAGTAGTGGACTGCGCTGGCCGGGCCCCATCGGAGGAGTGGACTGCGCCGGGACCCCGTGCAGCGTCCACCGGGAAAGGCTGCCTTTCCATCATTACCCGACAGTGGCTTCTCGTAAGCAGTCGCTGGAGGCCCTAGCTGACCCCGCAGCGGGCGCACGTCCGAACCGCCAAGAGCCCTGCTGAAGTTCCCCGAAGCGCCCGGACGGACAGACAGGCCCCGAACCTGCAGAACTGGAGACTGCGCTCCAGCAACGCATTTCGTGACGCCTACGCTGACGAATAATGCAAAACACTAAAAATGCAATCAGAGTGATGACTTTGAAGCGGACTTGGCATTCTCCCACTCCCAAGTTGCGGCTCTGTTTTATATTCGGGGAGTGAAAATGACAATTCACTCGCAGCCGACTCCGCCGGCACTCGCGTCCGTTCACTTTTCCTCGCCCAGCTTCTAAGTAACAAGTTAGGAAAGCGGCCCGCCCGGCGGCGCGGCCGTGATTCAGCAGCGGGCCGGGTCAGGCGGGACCGCGGCGCCGGGACGGGCCGGGCTC